TGAGCCTGCTTCGGCATAAGCTTAGGCTACGTAGCAAAGTAGCTTAGTGTGTTACTATCTGTATAAACCTTGGTGTGTCCACCCAAGTAGTGTCTCCAGTGTTCCAGGGTCGACACTATAGCAAACATCTCTTTTTCATGCGTTAGCCATCTTCGTTGAGTTTCATCCAATTTCTTGGAATAGAACGCAACGGGACAACCATGTCACCTTACCGTAACACCAACCGCTTTGTCACAATCTTGCTGCAACACGGCACCAATAGCATAGCCAAATGCATCACAATGCACTTCGAATGGTTTATCAAGCTCTAGGATCCTAAGAACAGGAACCGTAGTCAAGATCTCCTTCAACCGTACAAAAGCACGCTGAGAAGCCGGTGTCCAATGAAACGGAATACTACTCTTCGTCAACTCAGTCAACGGAAGAGCAATTCTTGCAAAATTGCGGACAAACTTACGATAGTATCCCGCCAAACCGAGAAAGGAACGAACATCTGATACAGTGGTCGGGACTTCCCAGGACTTCACGGCTTCCACCTTCTTTGGATCAACCTCAATTATGCCACCACCAACTATATATCCGAGAAAGTTTACGCGCAATTGTTCAAAAGCGCATTTACTTTCCTTAGCATACAGTTTGTGTTTGCGCAACTTCTGAAACACCAGCTCCAAGTGTTTCAAATGATCTTCCAACGTTTTGTTGAAGAGTAGACCATCGTCGATATATAAGACAACAAATGTGTCTAAATAATCTCCAAATATTCTATCCATCATAGTGCTGAACGTTGCCGGAGCATTGCATAACCCGAATGGCATGACAAGGAACTTATAAGATCCATACCGAGTCTTAAAGGCTGTCTTCTCCACATCTTGATCCGCCACCCGTATCTGATGATACCTGGACTGCAAATCAAGTTGCGTAAAATACTTAGCCTTTAAGAGTTGGTCAAACAAGTCATCAATGCGAGGCAAAGGATAACTGTTTTTAACCGTGATCTTGTTGAATGCCTGATAGTCAATACACATCCTCATGGTTCCATCCTTTTTCATAACAAAAAGGATCAGCGCTCCATAAGGTGATTTGCTTGGTCGGATATAACCTTTGTCAAGAAGCTCTGTGAGTTGCTTCTTGAGTTCAGCCATCTCCTTGATGTTCAATCGATACGGAGTTTTCGTAAGTGGTTTAGAACCCGAAATAACCTCAATTCGATGATCAACCTCACGGCTAGGAGGTAGCTCTGGTGGCAAATCCTTCGGGAAAATATCTTGATTCCGCGCCAACAACTCCAATATCTTCTGTGGTACAAGATCAACCCCATCACCGATTCGAATTGAGTCACTAACACTCTCAGCTTCCATCACTTGAACCCAAAAGGTCCGACATCCCCTCTTAGCTATTTTTTGAGTGGCCCTCGCAGTTAGGAACTTAGCATCCCAATCCTTTGAGGAATGCCTTTGCAACTGGAAGGACACATTAAGACGTCCTTCGGACTTCAACGTGATACGACTTTGTCCAGCACCATAAATCCCTTTTATATACTTGTTGAAGAAATCCATACCATACACCATCTAAAAATCTGGTATTTACAACACTACCAAGTCCACTCTTTCTTTTCACTTGGATATCTTTATTGGAACATCACTCACAAACTTTCTGGCTACTTGCCCACCTTCTGCAAACCGGAAGTGCATAGGCGACATTTTCTCAGCATTCAATCCTAACAACTTAACTAAGTCTTCAGATATCACGTTGTGCGTAGCTCCCATGTCAATCATCACTCAGATTCAGTGTCCATGGACAAAGCTTACCATATACATCAACGGATTAGTGTTTGCATTGACTGCAAGAAAAGCTTGAGGAAAGCAACGAAAGTTACTCACCTCTTCTTCCTCATAGTCTGCATTGACCAACTCGTCAACTCCTTCAGCTTCACCTCCACCATCTTCCCTCATGACATTAATACGAGATCTTGTCTTATGCTTGTTGGGACATTCCGAGGACCTATGTCCCGACTCTCCACAATGGAAGAAATGACCCACACTACCCATTCCACTAGGAGCAAGTTTTGTAGGTTGCTATTGCTTGTATCCACCAGGAGGAAGAACAGAGGGCCTAGGACCAGAAGAAGTTGCTGGTGGTCTCCAACCACCACCACCTTTGTTAACCGTTGCTTGTGAGCCTCCAGAGCGGAACCTACCTTCCACCCTCTATTTCCGATCACCTTGTTTATTCCTAAAATTCTTATTCTTATCCGAGTTACCAGCATACGGTTGCTGATATTATTCCATGAGCGAGTGACTAAAGGCAACTTGCTGTGTTGCCTCCTTACACTCTAGGTACGTCTTCGGCTTAAACTTCAAAATCTCATTGCGAGAAAATGAACTTAAACCCTCCAGAAAATAACTCTGAGCATCTTCGTCACTCATATTTGCAATTATAATGTGCTTCTGAGCAAACGCATTAACGTAATGCATGAGATCCCCTCGCTGCTTTAACCGCCGCAGCTCCGCACAAAGTCTCAGACCAAGATCATCCGGTAGGTATTCCTTATGGATGCGAGACCGCATCTTGGTCCAACTTCTAGTCTGCCCTTTTTCAGCACACACCTGGCGCCACCAAGTTTTGGCATGATCGGTGAGAAAGGATTGCGCGCATGCAACTTTCATACAATCATCTACGTTTGCCACTATGAAATAGTTTTCCATATCGTAGACCTAGTCTTCCAAAACTTGATAGTCCCGCATGCCTCTGAAATTGGGTGGTTTTGGAGGCTTGAACTTTGAAACTCGTGCAACAGGGAGCGGCTGCAAAACTTCATCGTCCTCAAAACTCGAAGAGGAGTCTGGTTGCTTAGGCTTAGCTGGTTTAGCTGCCTCATACGCTGCAATGCTGTAGCATCTGACTCTTCCTCTTCTGACTCAACCTCAACCTCTTTTGCAGCATCTCTAGTAGGAGTTTCCTCCTCTCAATTCGCCCGTCTAGAGATTTCAGTGTCATCAGCACGGTTCCTCTTCACCATCTTGCTAGTTGCATGCATGCCTGTATCAGTAACTGAACATGCTTACAATGTTCTTACCGAATGGTGCTATCCAACTAATCCTACACAGGTTGTTTTTGATCTACTAGAAAAGTCTCTATATATGCAACTTGAGTCAGAAAACCTAACAAAAGTTGGATAGGAATCACTGAGACAATTCCTCTGATACCAAATGTAGTGCACCTGAATTTGGAGCCAAACTCCAAGCCTGTTGCGCTACGAAGCGAGGGTTCAGTACAATCCCACAAGCACCATCTCCTCGTATCCAGCACCTACATGCAAAATGGTGTCAGACGGAGTCTGACACAATTTTGGCATACCGGTGGCCTAACGCGAAGAGGAAGATACCCCACCAACTAGAACAGCGTGGAGCTTGGGCTTAGACCCAAGCCGAATGCAGAACAAGGAGTGACACAACCCAGTGGGAGCCAAACTAATGTCTCAGGTGGTCAGACATGCATTCCAACCACTATCCCTACTATACAT